CTCGATCTCACTTCCAACTGGTGTGTGCCATTCAAGTGGATTCATTTTTAATGGATTCTTCGTCGTGCATTTGTATTATACAGCTGTTTCATCCTTCCTGGGAATCATCAGAAATGTACGTCTGACGAAATTCCATTGAGTCTCTAACCCACGACCTCCGAACACAGTCGTTTGGCGACGAATGGCTGATCGGTAGTGTTATTAGATCGCACTTAGACAGGATATAGCGCCACTAAGCCCTCACTCACTGAGTGCACGCCATCCATTTCAACAGGCTCCTCGAGTGACGACGGATGTCTCACTTACCGAGTGCATTTTATTCTTCCTCTAGCTTCCTTATGGATTGTTGAAAGTCGTCATTTAAGGAGCGAGTCAAGACGTTTGACGACGTTATGTGGTTTCCTTGATTGGAGGGTGAGTAACGCCGTTGTGCCCAAGTGGAAGCGAATCCACTGTGATTAGCCGCTTGTGGTCAAACGATTAAGTGTTCAAACCACTAATCGGAGGTCTTGGGTTCAAAACTCTGGAGTTTTGTGAGATGTGCACTGCTGGTTATTACCAGTGAGGGTTAAACAACCGTTCAATGTTTTTCGGCACAGACTGACCTCACTTACAGGGCAAAATCTTCATCAAAGTTTCCGAAATCTGCTCACACCAGCAACGGGACTCTTTCAATTAGATATAGCAACCAGCCCAGTTAACTTTGTTAAACAAGTGATGAGAGTAATGTTTTCGAGTCTTTCAGCTCACAACATACGAACTGACTTCAAAGATGCGCATGCGGGTTATAAGGCTCAGTTCTCACCGTCTCAATAGTCATTTCATGTAAACGCCGATTGTTGAGTTTTATGCTGTGCAGCCCTTCTGCTAGGAAAAAATTTTTTCAGCTTGGTTCACCGTGTAGCCGATTCGAGTACCCCATTTTCCCAATGTGCTTTGTGCCCATGATTCACCCAGGTTCGTCTACCCGGAGATCATGTTTGTAATTTTTTGGGTTAAAGTTTTGTTAGTTATGTTCTGTCCAGGCTACAACTCTTGACCAAACCTATTGTTTCCGTTGCTTCAGTTGAAAGCCGATGAACAGTCAATCTACGACTTCAATGTGACTGATATTGATGGAAAGCAAGTGGACATGCATCGATATAGGTATTGTGCCATTTGCAAACGCTTGTATACATCTTTCGTTAGTGGCAAGGTGTGTATCATAGTCAATGTGGCGTCTGAATGAGCTTTGGCTGGAACCAATTATGTGCAGCTCCAAGCCTTGTATACCAAATACTATGAACATGGCCTCCGCGTGCTTGCCTTCCCCTGTAATCAGTTCGGCGGACAGGTATGTGTTAGGCGTTACCCTCCAACCAGAATGTTTAGGAACCCGGCACAGATGCCCAGATAAAGGAGCATGTCCAATCCGCTTACAATGTCACGTTTGACTTGTTCCACAAAGTGGACGTGAATGGAGATGATGCCATTCCACTTTATAACTACTTGACTTCGAAGAAACGTAGTCCATTTTTCATAAGGTGAGCCTCTTTGTTTTTCTGTTAGTTTGTTCTTGACACGGACGCCCATCGTTCCAGAAAATATCGAAATATTGAGTGCGAGGCTCTTCGATTGGGCAAGGACCAAGCGCCAGTCTAGTACTCATTTGATACATCCTGTGTGGAAGCGTCTCGTCGATCAGCCATAGTAATCGTTCCTTTGTAACACCCTTCTGGTTCATAACGACCATGTCACCTGAAGGAGGCACGGAGACTGAGGGACTTCTAGGTTGCCTAAGCCTAGACAAGAGTAGTCGAGATGCATGGGTTGATTTCGAACCCTGGACCTTCCGATCAGTTAAGGTCACGCCTTAACCACTGGGCCATCTCGAGCGTCTCGGACAACATTTTTTGAGACTGTTCACTTGCGGTATGAGGTACAGTGGTCTTCTAGTGGTCTCGCTGATTTCCGTTTGTGCGATGATCCGTTCTTGAAGTTTTGGCACATAGGACGCCGCCTGGTGCAACCAATTTATTACCATTTGCACTCAGCGCCTGCAGTTATGACGGTTTGATGCCCCTGTTGGATCTACGGCCCCTCTCTAGTGAGCCCCATTTATAGGTGGTGAAGCAGTTGCGGTCGTGATATCCGGTTATCTGCCAGGACATGGATTTTCGTGGGACCTCTGGGAAAACATCATTAATTTGCTCTTCACAGAGCATAGTACTTACTGAGGGTCTTAGCATTGAAATTTGCCCAATGTGGGTCGTGGGATCGTCTGTGGTGAGCAGGACGTGAATGGAACACTGCATTTCCACGTCAGCCGCACCGTGGTATTTTCAAATGGTCATCTTGAATGTGGAGTTTAACGAAAATGCGTTCACTAATTGTCAGCTTTGAATAATTTATATTCTTCCTAGCTAACGGATTTGTTCACTGATAGGTAGCGCTTTCGGTGCGAATAGTAGACCCCAATCTTGTCATTGGATACATGCGCTCCATTCATGGGAATCGGAGAATCACTGTTGGTGAGTTGGTAATTTCTTCTCGAACTACTCTGGGCTTTGTCGATAATAAAGGCCCATTGATGACGGTATCTCGATTGCTGATGAACCAATTTCGGATAAGGTATCCACCTACAAGGAAGCACCCTTTAGAGGTAACTGTTTCACTTCTAAAATTCTACTCCACTTCTGAAGTGATCGTAAACCGCGGCTTACCGACCGATTTTCACCCTATGTAGCGGGAGTATCTCGGCTGTGCTACCACGCTATCTCGTGACATGGCTCAGCATGTACGTTGGTGTAACCCGAGGCTGTATCTCGCAGTTTCTGCGGTGAGCTTGAAAAATGGAATAAAGCAGTACAGTACAGCCCTATATTAAATAAACCCAATAATTACACTTTTGACGTGGAAGAGACTGTTGACAGCCTCAGTAAGCAATCCAACCCCAGTTGTTGCGGTCATATCGGAATATATGATGTCCACTGGCAAGCCTGAAGTACAGTTCCCCTTGTGCGTAACAATCCTTCTGTAACGACTTCTTTGCTATGATCGTCTGACTGTGTCCATCTCAGGCTTGGGACGCGAACTTACTAACCCGAACTTCCGTCGTTTGAATCCGACCTCTTCGTTTCGACTGCTCCTGTCTAGGCTTGGACAGATTGGTAGTATATCCGCCCTCTTGCTTCCTTTTGTTGGCATGGTAGCTAGGAAGGGTGTTACAGCTGAACGACTATTACTAATTATTACTGATTAAATGTCAGGCTGTTCGTTCCCCCTTATAGTGTTCCCCTTTATGAGGCGGTTCAGATGGCTGGGTTTTTTCGAGGTCATACTAGAGAGCGAGTACTTTATCTGAAACATCGACCAATCGTCACATTGACAGTATCTACTCATTGGAGCAGCTTAATTCCCTCAACTCTGGCCCGTCCTGGTTCCGGATATTCTTATGATTGGTGACTGCAGGAGTACGGCAGTTGGAATCACTGTACGGAGTTCTGAAATGATATCCTGACGTCCTTCGTACACAATTAAATTTTATTTTTCTCATGGATCCTCACGACACAAACTATTTTGTGGTCCACAGGACAGAAGCCTATGACCACTTCATCAATGCACTGGTGTGCATTTCATTCAAGTACTCATACTTGACACGTTACTTGGATGGAGCCTGACTAGTTCACGACACCTAGTTTCCGTCAGTGAAATAGTGGAAATGCGAGAGATGAGTTTCACTGGGTTAGGCTGTCCTCCCACAGAGGAAATTCGTTTGCTCTGTGCATAGCTTTTGTTTTATTCCCACAGTTTCTTCTGCAGATGGAGAAGGGGTTGATTTTAAGTCCACATCGCTGCAACCGAATTTTTCTGCCATAAGACCAAGCAAATGTGCTAATCCTCTGTCAATGTCCGTTTCATTTGTAGGCGCATTGAATGGAATTTTGTCAAGTTCCTGGTGGATCGCAGTGGCATACCTTACGATCGATACGCTCCAACTACCTCACCGAACGTGAGTGATCTTATTGCAGTTTTCTTGTCTCACAGTCGGCCTGCGCCTAGCCCATTGCGCTTTAGAATTATTGTCTCCGGGGCCTTAGCTAGTCATCCTCATCACCATGGACAGCAACCTCGTTTTTGACGCCGATGCTTCACTTCCGTACAACCACCAAGTTCGACAGATAAACTCAGTTTGTTTTCCGGGTAGACTCATCTGAATCCCAGCTGGATCTCTCGTCTATGGTGTTCTTGACTAGTTTTTAAATGCTAAATATAAGAAGGAAGAGTATTCATTGGCGTGATCCAATGTGAGGGACGCTTATGAGGCAGTGATGGTCAAGCGTCTGAGATCGTCCCAGATCATCTGCCCACAGGGACCATATCTTGCAACCATACAGCAACAAGGCCCTTACTGTCGCCTGGTACATGAAACCCCTGAGGGCGAATGTTGCGTGAATCTGGCCTCTGAGATTACTGCACAAACTGCACTTCCTTCAGCGCCGTGTTCAAAGAATGCACATTCTTATGCATGACTTCGTTTCTGGTAGGTTCACGGCACATGCCAAAGGATGGTATGATGTTGGTTAGTTTTTTTCGTGCGTTCTTTTCGTCTTTTTTTCGTCACGTTTTGGGTGAGCGTGGTTAGAAAAGCTGATTGGTTGGCAGAATCGGGCGCGGTCTTTTAGTTCAAGGAAAATCACACCATTACCTATGAAAATACCCCAACACCTGACGGAGTATGAAGATTTGGCCGACACAGCCTCGACCTGTTCGAAATTCCACCTGGTGCTTGCGGGTCAGGCTTTCGTGTGCCGCCGCAAATCCAAGTGGACTCGGTGACGACAGAAGCCTCGTCATAGTGTCAGGCTGATACCCGTGTGTTTTATGTATTCGCTGTGAGTCATTTTTAGAATGGGCGCTATTATCGACCAACCAATTCACCGGGACGGTCTCCTTGCTCGAATGGCACCACATGTCCATTGTTTCGGGAATTGATACTGCAAGTGAACAACCTGTGGTCAGTAGTTGTCTGCACTAGGTGGTCCCCGTTGTCTGTGCGTCTCGTGTCCAACACGCGAGAACCAAACGGTGTGATCTCGGTAGCGTATCCGACCTTCCTGCGCGGGCCACGGCGATTTTTCGAACGTTTGGCCTTCTGCAAAAGTGTCCCTGGAGGCAGCCTGTTGGGACATAACCAGCTGCAATAAATAGGAAATGACGGACCTCTCCTTCTTAACTTTTCTTTTCAAACCTTGCCGGACGAACCTCGCAAAGACGGTTGCCAACCGACATCTAGTCAAGCAGAAACGTTTTAACTTCATGGTTCGGCGTTATATCCAGCGAGTTGTCTAACTTGAGGCAGGAAGAGATTCTCAGAGCCGTCAATTCAGTTACAATACTTGTGTCCTGGATCCTTCGGAAGAACAAATAGCATATATCAATGCATACTCTAGCATACTCTATGCATCAATGCATATTCTAGCATACGTGGAGGAAGAACTTGATATCGTGCTTGTTTTATCTGAACAATAGGGGTTTTCTTGGCTTCGGAAGTGCCTTCAAGGTGTCTGTTGCTGTTAGTGCACATGAACGCACATAAGCTACGATTAAGAGTAGTGATGTAAGGTGATCAAAACTTCATTCCTAGTGCTGGGATCTGTGGAAGATGGAATTCAAAGTGAGGCAAGGGGAGGTAGAAGAAAGAACACAATAGAGTTTATTAAGGGGGGCGTGGGTTTAGCTAGCGGTGACTTGAACACCCGACAGAAAGCCTGAATCTCGGTAACAGAAGAATAAGGATGATTGTGTGCCGGCGCCTTGACGGAGTTCGATTCTCCACGTGTCATGCCAGTGACTGGGCTTCCCTTATATACGTTAGGGCAACCTTGAATTTTTGCATGACTCTGTGGAAAACACCAGTACCCCTGCGAGGCCCCATTGTGATGGGAAGGAGTCTTTGATGTGCTCTATCGCGGTAGTTTATTGATGCTGAAGTTTGTTCCATTCCCCTGTTTCTCTCAATCTGGTTCTCACAAAAAATCACCGGCAAACACAAGCCATAGGTACTCCGGTTACGTCACTCTGGTTGGATTACTCGTCATTTGGATGTGTCGGAATATAGTAGCTATCGTATGCGAACAACTATTCAGGGCTACAGGCGAAGGTTGATTGTCCTGAAGAAATCGTAAATAGATGGGCTATTGCATAGGACACACCGGACTCACGCCTTCACGCCTGTTCTTCGTCGTGGACAATGTGTTCTGTGTGATTAACCTTTGGGGTTGCACTCGTGCATGAACTTACTTGTAGGTAGTAATGAACACCCGGTGTTGTACCCATGTGTGCAGGACAATTCAGTCTGAAGGACATTGTGACGTACCAGAATGGGACCCCGGGAATGAAACGACTATGATTGTCCAACAGTTGAGGGATAGAAACACAGCAGGTGATGGGCATTGTGTACAAGTGTCGGATGCAGATCGACCCAAGGGCGGAGGGATCGAATCTCGTCAATAGGAACAGTTTTTCAGTTCTGTTTTTGGTTCAGTTCTATTCCAACTTCTGTAACTAACAACCTTCTCCCTATTGCGTTATTTCCAGGACATGCTCACCGATATCCTCGCATTACTCGAACAATAGAGAGAGAGAACCCTTCCGAATCCCCCACTTCATTCATATACTCCTGTCCCGTGATTTCTATTCTACTGAGGCGCTGTCCGGTTCAGATACTTCGTGATGGATTGGTCGTAAAGTCGGCTATCGACCTGGCTAATCCGGATGCTGTTCGAGCGCTCTGGTATACGGCGTTCGACCTTCTGGACTTTACTCGCCTTTAGCTTCCATATTTCATGACTATTATCACTTGCATGCATAGATGACTTTCAAAATACGCCAATTATATTGTGTCTTCCTGCTTTGTGCCTGCCAAGTCTTTCGCCGCATGTTGTTGGACACAATCACTTTTGTTTTTGGTTATAAAAGGTGGATCGGCTGAACCTAGTCATGTTTCCGTGTTTACTGTTGACGAGATTGATGGTCATATTGATTGTATTCCAGGGACCTCGGGGTTCCAGTGCGAAGGTTTGCAATGCCTGTGTAAATGTGTTTTCCGAAGGGATGAAGGGATCCAAATCCAACGAGTTGGCTCACAGATCTACAACTCGCGTACTGTATCATGTGTGAACCTGAAAATACTCTTCAGCCAAAACCTGGAGTAGATAACTGCAACAGTTCGATTCAGTTGTATACACACTAAAACGTTGTTGCGTTGCCAAGTTCTAAAGAGAGATCGCTAAATTCGCTCTGTTCAGTAGCAGATTTTTCGGGAATTCGGGTACTCAGAATGATCTTTAGCGTGATATCATTCCTTTGAGATGGCCTTTAGCCGATAATATTGTTGTTATTCAATATTTTTCTGATACCATACTACTTATGAGGTTGGTTTCAACTCGATTTTACAATTAATATTGTTCAGTGGAATGAAACACATCGATTTGTTGGATATCTGAATGTTTGCTTAACTGAAGGATTAGGCGGTCTACATGCAGCATATTCGGTTCAATAGTACCATAAACGGGAAATTCCATTAAGTCTCACCGCCACACCTAATTTGCACATAAATATTCAACTTTGCGAAACTTATTCTCCTTCGAGAGGCGACGGTCGTTGTGAATTCTTATGATCGAACGACCATTCATTCGATTAGCGTGCAGTATCCTACTGACTGCGGTTTCTACACGAACTTACCGACCGGGAGGTTCGTGGTTCGAACCCAACTTCAGCATCTCGACTGTCTAGACTTGGGCCACCTGACAGTATCTCAGTCCTTGTGCATTGTTCAGGTGGCAAGGCAGTTAAGCACTTAAAGGATGTTACAGGCGTACGTTCATTATTCCTATTCTTATCAGTACGGTCACTTACGGACAGCAGACTGAATCAGCGTCCGGTGTAGGGCTTATCAGTTTGCACTATCAAGCGATAAATCGTCCGGACCGATCAGTACGTAGGTGATCGCAGTTCGATTGCCAAAACCAAAAAGAGAACCACGAGAAACCAGTTAGCAACATGGGGGAACACTGTGACGAAATTTGATAACCCTATGATGCCAAACGATAAACGAACTGAAACTTGGGGCGGCCAGGAGCAAAACATTCATTTGAAGGAAACCTTCACAGACGAGAGGTTCGGCGGATTCAGTTGAGTCTGTTGTCAAAAACAATCGAGGTTGTTAGAAGTACATCCTCTTTTTGTGAACCAAGCCTCTTCTGTTCGTTTCCCGCACTGCACTCAAACCAGTGCATGATGGCTGCCTTCAAGACCCGACTTGGATAGTCACTGGTTATCGGTAGAGTACAACATTTTCACGTTCGTCGAAAAATCCATGTTGTGGACTTGTTGTAGCCAACAAGTACTGGCTGCCCACTCGAGAACCCATTCAAAACGTAACCAACTGATGTGGTTTGTGCAATTTGAAGATGAGCGTTGCCATATCCAGTTCGTATGAGAGCTGGTCAGCTGATCAAACTGTCAAAAATCAAGCCACTGACCGGAAGGTCACGAGTTCGAAACTCGAAGTTCCGCGACATGCACACTGCTGATGAGTCTCAGCAGTGCCTCCCAGATTTTGAGCGTAGATTGACTCGACTGACAGGATGAAGTCTCTGTTGGAGAAAAGTAGCGTATGTATCCTCGCACTCGAACCCCCCGACTGGGTTGATTTGAACCGTTGTCTTAGGCTGGAACTGTGTTTTGCTATCTAATACACAGCTGAACATACCAGCACGGTAGCAAGCAATGTGCCCATGTGGAATGCGCATTTTCATAGCCAACCAAGGATTTTCAACATTACCCTGGCCCTAGTGTGAAACTGACGTGACTTCGGGCCACACTGAATGTCTTTCATAATTACAAACTTACAGTTTCCCCAGGTTTCAATTGACGCCTTCAGTCGTTCTGGACAGAATAGCTAACAGTAACACCTCTCTAGGAAGACGATTTTTTATGGGAACCAATCCAAAACTGTCTGTCAACTCACAAAATACACCATCATTTAGAACCTGAAACGGAAATCTTTCCCAAGAGATTTTCCTCTTTAGAAGAAGCGCAAAAAGAGATGTCCGGACCATCTGATCACAATTAGGACTAAATAGACGAGATCGGAACTGCAATTCAGTACTAGTTCATACGTTTCACCGTTGAGCATTTGGAACGCCCGGAAAACAAATAAGGGTATTCGGTTTGTTGCGTATACTGCAAATTGCCAGTTCAGAAAACCCGGTACAGCTCACTCGACAAAACAAAGCCACTTCCATACACAAAGACCGTTTTCTTGGAATGATTGCAAGAGGTTTAAAGCAGTATTACACAACTGTATCTTTCAAGACTTGGAACATGTTTTGAAAAATATCGTTGAACCAGGGAGGGAAATAGGCTCTGGTGATAACCAATCCCATGCGGGGTTGTGCCCAAGGATTCCAACAGACATTCCGTGCGATAATCGGAAAGAATGCTTTTCACCAAACTATATGAACACGAACTCACTTCTGAAAGGCGTGACCAATTTTCGCCAAGTTTTCACCAAGTTCACGAAGGACACGAGTTTGAACTGAACGGCGTTCATACCAGAGAAGGCAAAAGCAGGAAAGAGCGTGGTACGCCATCGAAAGCATCATCAAGTAACACATCGAGGGCGACCCAATATACCAACGATAAATGAACTCCGGAACTACAGACCCCGAAACTGTACAAAAGCGGGAAATAGTAATGCAGGAAGCACGGCACGATCGTTGGGTCGTTCGACTGATGAATCAATCGACAATCAAAAGAGGACAAGGGGAACCACCCGTTCATCCAGTCGCATTCAGTCTACAGCTATAAATAAGGAAACAGGGATATGTAATGAGCCAAGCGAAACGAAGGGCACCAGACCACAACACAATGTAAATTGAGAACGAGCCAATCGAACAGAATGAAGACTGCTAACTGTAGAAAGCATTCGGAGGGCCGCTCAACTTTAGCGATGCAGAGCACGAGAGATTGTAAACAGGCAGATCAGAATATCGGACTGGTGAAATCACAAGGAACTGTCCCACAACCGGTCACGTCAAGGGATATCACTTTGTCGAAAAAGCTTTACGAAATCGTTATATATATATATATACCAAAAATTCTGGGCAAGCCGACTAATAGTAATGAAATAAACGGGAGGTAACCCGACTGGTTGGTTGTCTCCCACTCACCGGTTGCTTGTTATCCACAGCGCACTGGACGGTAATGTGCATTCGCCGAAAGGGTTTGCACCGGGCCCGCTGGAATTCAACATCACTATTTTTTGTGCTTGCGCGATGCTAACTTCCGTAATGATGCATTCAGACAGTATGTCCACTTTAATTCATAACACATGGGTGGAATAGTGTGTTATTCTCACTTACAAACTGGAATTCGGGCGCGCACTGATGATACCTCCTCGACTGTTGACCAGGTGGTTCCAATCTGTCCTTCTCAGCAGACAAGCCAAAAAGAATTCTTAGCTGGAGCTTCACCCTGCAAATGAAGTTAATCTATGCCGAGAAGCACTGTACTGTACCGTCTCATGAGTACTGAGATCTATCAGCAGTACACATTTCACGAAACTCCAAAAGTCGTGAAGTCGCAACTTCACTGATAGTAGCCTGAACTGTTTACCGTTCGGTCATGAGCATTGTGATCAAATCGCATTTACTTAGGCCATGGAGCCACTTATCTTCCAACTACAGGATTCACACTACGTGTGGATTGACTCCTCCAGTTAGGACTTGTCAGGCCGATGGTCCACTCATCACATGAGCTACTTTCATTTCGTTGATAGTCTCCGGAGGAGAATGGGGGACTTTCAGTTCGCCTGTTGGTGAAATCAGTCTGTGCCACGTTTATTCATACTGTTGGTCAGCGGATCGTAGCCACACTCCGTGGTCTTTTGCAACTGGCGGGAGGTTGCGAGTTTGAATCGCCCTCGAAATTCGTGTGCTAGACACTGCCGTTGATTTTTCACTGGGGATATAATGGCTGCACAACACTTCTTGGCATTTCGGCCCTGAGTGACTTCACTTGTGGTACGAAATTTCCATTGCTATTTTACGCGTTGGTTGTTGGCTCATTCTAACGGCAAACAGAGGATGCAAAGCTTGAAACTAACAAGTAATTTGATGCGATTTGCTAGGTGATATATCAAAAGTCAAAGTCCAGAAGACACATGGTTGCAAATAGGTTGGTTATTTCATTTCAGTAGGCTACCTGTAAATCACCGACGACGATTTTTTCAGGAGATCAAGGGTGACTTGGTGAGCATCCCTACCACCTGGTACCCCGTTAATACGGTCTTTCAATAATGCTCTGCTGTATCGCCGCGATTGTTGAACCTTAGGTTTTTTTGTACTTGAGCACGAATGGTCTCATAGAACAGCGAAGTGTTACATGTGACGCCGCTCATATAGAGCCTACAAGACTCGAGTTTTAGAACACAGTTTGAACTCTGAAACAGTGGTGCCTCGCTTATTTTCACAAGGCGATCAGATTCTAAGTAGTAAAGTCGACATCTCAGAGAGTAACCTCACAAACATCAAGAAAATCACGCCTCACTATGCTGAAGCTTTCATACATTCACTCACCAGGCTTACAAATGACTATCCCTAAATCACACGTTGCTCAGCCGTGCATGTCTACAAACCGGGTAGGTGAATTTATGCCCCAACCATTCCCCTGTAACCCGGTGTGATCATGCAACTATTCTAGCTTTGTTTTGAGAATAAGTGAATCCGCGTTAACAGTCCTGGTGACCAAAAGCATGGTTGTGAGAGTACTACTTGGGTGAGTGCGCCGTGAGGGTGCATTACTAGCCCGAGTCCACGCTGTTCGGAACACAAATCAACAAGATTCCTCTCCGGTAGTCAGCTCATGCCGTTCGGCTCAATGCTGGTACCGGCAGTCATCACGACCACGCCCCTTCCAACGAAGAAGAACGAGGTTTGGTTGGTTGAATTGAACCGAACAGGGACCTTATGAAGGGTGGTGAGAATCACCCGATTGTGCATCTACACACCCATCGGACGGTTGAGTTTGTACACGGTAGCACTTTAGGCCTGTCATCTGTGATACCGCCACTTCCCAGTCAGCGACACCACTCACCTTGGCGCGTATCCAGTCCAGTGCGGTTACTATGGCGTCGCGCATGTGATTCCTAGGTATCATTAATGCTCGATTCTGCATCCTATTTACCCACACGCCTTGCGTCTTTGACTGAGTATAGTTGAAGGAATTTCTCGATATCGAATTGAATGGAACAGTGTGACTCGTTGTTTCATTTTCATCCGGTGAGTAACCTAGATATCAAGATTATCCGAATGAGGCCCTGCTCAGTTTACCTGACGGAACTTGAGACCCCCAAGCGAATTTCCCTCAACCTCAACGGTGCTCTTCCTAGGTCTGTCTGTCAAACTGTGATTCAGGAAGACTGTTGATAGTGTGAGGGAATTCCGGGATTTCTGATAGAGTTTTCATCCTGTAAGTGAAGTCAGTCTATGCTGAAATGTCGGGAAGCACTTTCCAGGTGTTTCGTCATCAGCAGAATGTATCTCATGACATTCCAGTTGGGGGCATCTACCTGCGACCTTTTGGTTATTAGTTTGAACACATCCGTTCAAACACTGACACTCGTGGCCGAAAACTCCAGGGGAAATCCACACCTGAATGAACTTTTCAATCATGTCCCTATCAAAGGACCCTACGGAGAGAGGATCCCCGACAGAATTGGAGTGGGCAAACAAGACCCAGCTCTGGTCAGTAATGTTCAATGGGAACTTCGTTCAACGAGTGAAGGCAATTGGTTTTGAAAAGCCGAGAAAAACTCTCGTCTTGTTCTTATGAGCATCATCAGCAGTGCGTATCTCATGGAA